CGGAGGACAGCGTTACTGAAGAGTTATGATTGTTGAATTTTTCGGGGGAGATAATTAACTGCTGATTCAATTCTTTGCATACAAACAAAGTCCGATTCACAAAATCAGTATTAGGTAAAGAATGCAAAATTAAATAAATTTTATATTCAACTGAGTGAATGGATAAAAGAATCTGACTCAATATACCTGACGCTGCCTCCAGGCTTTGATAGCTCGTTTTTTTTCTGCCTCCAAATGCTTCATTTTGCGCCACCAGATTTCGTGCTCGGCTACCTGCTGAATTGACTTAGTCATGAGCTGTCCCGCAACCGTTTGTAGGCATTCTATCAAGTCAGACGAAGGTTCAGTATCCGAACAATCAGATGCCCTCGTCGTAGCTGTTTCAAGGCAAGCGATCAAATGGGCCTGTTTAAATCCTCTCAGACGTCGTTCGGTTGCCCGTATCTGCAGAAAAGTGGAGTGATCCATTTCAGTCCAGCCACCCGACCGACCTCCGCGAGAGTATAGAAACTCCTGCCAATCAAAAATAAATATATACATTTTAACAAAAGAGGGCATAATTCTACTTTTCGTTTTGATCAAAATTTCAATCAATAGGAGGGTAGACTTTTTGTGGAAGTGATTTATGGCAAAATGATGGCAAACTATGCACAAAAGCATCTAAATTCGCCTGTTAAGTCATACAAACAGAAGCGGAAGCTGCTTTCAATGGCCAAATTCGATAATCGAGTCTTATGTCTTAATTGTATTTGTCAGTAACCATACAGCGGATGCTGAGTAAATATAAAAAAATTGTGGGAGCAATCGCTTGGCTCCGGTATGCAGGCAGACAATGCATATTAAACTCTAGTTTCTGATCCAAACCAAGATAAATGGTAGTTAGGCGTCAATATATCTGCTGAGTATATCAATTATTAATGCGAAAGTAATTTCAATTCAATGTCGAAGTCCCTTTCATCTGGTTTGAAGAGTAGAGTAAAAGGAATTCGTAATTTGACCTAACCTGAAGCTGTAGGAAGATTACTTCGGAGCTGTAACCGTAGATTTGTGCGAATAGGTCCCTGTTGCACCGATCTGCGACCCCGATAAAGCTTTACTGATATTTCGTCTGTCATGTCACGGAAATTGTCAGGGCAGGGCACCAGGCACCAAAACATGAAGACAAAAAAGGTAGCCGGCTTCAAACTTTCCTACTTCTTCTAGTCCAACTTGGTCCACTTAATGAGGCATGTCATCAAAAGGTTGGATGTCCTACGTCTTGCCAAAATATTTGCTGAAAAATTAAGTGGCTGTGGATAAGGCGGGAAACGGATGCAATTATGATCTAACAGCTTTATCACCCCCCAAAGCACTTAAATCTTCGATCCTGCAATGTTGCCGAATGTTATTACCTTCTATTGTATGTGTTCTGTGTGAATGCATTTATCTCAAATTGTTTAAGATGTGAGAGTCAAAACCAGATACGAGCCCAATCAAGCCTCCTCTTGCTCGCCGGTACTTCTTGTTCCCGCTCTCTCTCTAATATTATTTAATAACCATACGTAATTTCCTTCTATTCAGAGTGTTGATTATTTTGTTGATTTATATCACTTCCTTAATCTTCCACTTACTGATATAGTCCCATATCCAGCTAAGCGTTTAGCACTTTACTAGTCTAGCTGGTGTCCTGTGTGAGCTGTGTTTAGCCAGTTCCGATTTTTAAAACCCAGAGACTCTTGCAAACTATTTTGTTTTCCGAAAACTTCATATGTATAGGCCTACAGGTTTCTTCCATATAGACGCTACCGCATGAACACAAAATCTTGTATTAGTCCGATTCGGTGATAGGATCAGAATATTCCCGAAAAAAGGCAATATCGAGGAAAGTGTTATTTCCTCTTTATAAATAGTCCTGATGTCTCACCTCCTCGGTAATTCGCCTATCTTCTTTGAGAGAGTACACGATGACAGCATGAGAGCTCTGGCAGAATGGTCTAGTCTTTTATATAGCCCTAAATATGTATTTATCATCATTTTGTTTAGTAATATTCTAAAATAATTGTCAATAAGTCCTCGTGGATAATTGTTCTCAGCCAGAGTTCTCCTAAATCATCTCAATTCCTGGTCCCAATGATTAACACCTTCAGGTTCCTTATTATCGTAGACCTCCTAACTCCTACTCTAGCCTCATAAGTGTGGTTGGAAAAGGTAGGATTGCAGCCGACCACCTTTCTTGTATTCACATTTTTATGAATTATCATTAAGCATGGTATCCTGCTCTGACAAGTTCTGTTCTATGACAGACGAAAACTCGCCAAGAATGCAACAGGGCCGCAGGACGGTGCATTGAAGGCCTATTAACACAAGGCAATTCCCATACAACTTTCTATGAGGTCAAATTAGGAATCCTTCCAGCGTGACTCTTTAAATAAAATAAAATACTCCAACATCAATTTATTAAGAGATTCATCGAAACTCAGTTTTACTACCATTTCAATTTAAAACTTTTAGGACTTAACCAAATAAACTTTATTAGAATAAAGCCATATAGCTTAAGCATAATAATAACCCACATTGTTTCTCATTTTGTGGGGCGATGGGTCCGGCTTAATTTTGAACTGCAAGTGTAAACATCTGCCGCTTCTCTTTTCTAATAATAGATCGCATAAAGCGCACTCTAGTCTTCTCTAAAGTTAAAAGTCCCACCTAGTCCTATGACACTATTAAGTTGTTCAGGTGCACGTTTGTTGGTATCCCCCATTTTCGGTCAGACATGTCATTAGTCATTTCTCATAAAGACACACCCTAAAAATGGCCATAAATACGCACACGTATACTGGGCACCTATTGCAGGCACACCTATTACTATAGCCTAGCACCTCTAATAGAGCATAATCTGCCTGATTCTGACCTTTAATTTCCTATCCACAAGGTCTCCCTAATGCTCTAGCCAAGTTGCAAGAACAAGGTGGAACCAACACTAAAAGGCTAAATGAAACTGCGGACAAATAGGCCACATCATCTTGCTTTTGCTACCTACGATCTAACGTTAAGTTAGTTTACGATTTATATTCAAGTAATATCCTGACTACAAACGCAAAGGCATTCCGGACAAATAAGCATACATATTTGGATTAATCTACAAAGTTATCTGGAATAAACAAGGTCGACATTATTACAAATATTATTATTTTTAAAAATCAACAAACTGGGAAAATAATGTTATAGGCGGTAAGACACTTAATACGAATGACCAATGAGCATA